GGGGGGGGGGGGGGGGGGGGGGGGCTAGAGGTGAATTAAAAGGGAAAAAAGTTGGGAAAAACAGAAACAAGTATTGGAGTCTTTGAGTGAGTCGAGAAGTTGAAACTCTAAAAGTCTCTAGAGTTGCCTCCGCGAATGTTTTATTCACCTCTCTGTAATCTTTTCCCCCCTCTGCAGTTTCTAGAGTGAATTCGTGGCGTGGAGCGAGTGGAGGTGGAGAACATTTCTGTATTGATGTTGGAAAATTCAGATTATCTCGGGAACCAGTGGGTTTAGGGGAAAATGAGTTCGGACCTTTTTTGTAGCTGAAAAAAATTCCCACAAAAAAGCCCATTGCCATTTTTCTGTAGGAGTAATCGTTTCTGAGATAATTTGAGAGTTAAATTTGAAGAATGAAACTGGTGGATTTTGAGAATTCATTGACACATGTTTGTTAATTTCGCTATTATCTTGATAACGAGTGGTTTTAGGGGAAAATGTTGTTGGATCTTTTTTGTAGCTGAGAAAATTTCCCACAAAAAGCTCATTTGACATTTTTTTCTGGGAGCAATAGTTGTTGAGATAATTGAAACGTCAATACAGACTATTCTCTCGTTCTCAGAAGTAATTTTGGTTGAATTATTAATTACTATCAATAAAAGCGCAATGGGCGCTGCGTTCGCTCGCGAGGCGAGTGTGATACGTCATCTAGCATGGAGTTTAAGATTTTAAACATCTGAGAAAAGTAAAATCGATGATGGGGATTGAATTGAGGCCTTGAAACCACCTCAAGGCACCGGCAGGAATATCAGGGTTTTGTGATTGTGTCGAGTCTTTAGAGAATATATCTTTGAAAAATCGAAGGGATGAGATGAATACGAGAGGGAGGGAAATGAATAGGGGTTCACGTTGGCCGGGACGTGAGATTAAAAGAAACTGGAGTCAATGGTTGAAATTTCAAGGATTTCTCTTTAAAAGTTCAACTGATTCTTCAGTTTTGATCGAAAAAAAATTGACGAAAAATGTAAAAAAAAAGGAAAAAAAATTATGAAATAAGGAAAAAATCCGTTCAATGTCAATTTATCATTCTACTCATTTATTTTGTCGAGTGGAAAATATAATCATTCCAGGGTCCACGTCGCTCATTAGTCTCATTTTTCTTTCATTATTTAACGGTATAATTAATTGAATTGTTAATTGATGACCGAATGAGACAGACAATTGTTGAATAATTCGATTATTTGGAATTTCAAATTGTTTATGAGTTTGAGTATTGATTTTGATTCATAAAATTCTTGGACTCGTCTTGAGAACGTCTCCTATTACTCAAATTAATTAATGAGTGGAATGAAACGTTAAATTGAACTTTTATTACAATTTATTTGATTGAATTCAAGTAAAAAAAATTGAAAAATGATTTGAATTGAAAGTACAGAGCAAAATCAATTCGAAGCGATTTATGAATCGATTAAATCGAGATTGGAGAATATAAAAATATAGAAGTTTGTAAAGAATGAGTTATTGCACATCTGACGCTCAAAAAATTGATGAATTCCGTCGGGAGAAGTTCGAAAATATTCTTGTGATGAAAAATCCACAAATTAAACTCCGAAGATTCAAGAAATATTTTTACTGATGACTAATTTTGAGATGTGCAAATTCATTCTCCGAGGATCTACTGTCAAATTTGAAGAGAAAATTTCCAAGGATCGATGAGATTATCGTCGATTCCTCAATAAAAAATTCTAAATGGAGTACAGCATAAAAAATGGAGCGCGTAATTACTTTCATCCACTTGATCTCCTTGCAGTCCTTAAAAATCCTCCATTCATCAAAAGAATCAATGAGCGGAATAAAGCGTTAAATTGAACTTTTATAACAATTTAGTTGATTGAATTCGAATAAAAGAAAATTGAAATATGCAAAATCAATTCGAAGCGATTTATCAATCGATTAAATCGAGATTGAAAAATATAAAAATATAAAAATTTGTGAAGAATGAGATTTTGCACATCTGACGCTCAAAAAATTGATGAATTCCGTCGGGAGAAGTTCGAAAATATTCTTGTCATAGAAAATCCACAAATTAAACTCCGAAAATTCAAGAAATATTTTTAGTGATGAATAATTTTGAGATGTGCAAATTCATTCTCCGAGGATTCACTGTCAAATTTGTAGAGAAAATTTCCAAGGATCGATGAGATTGTCGTCGATTCCTCAATAAAAAATTCTAATTGGAGTACAGCATAAAAAATGGAGAGCGTAATTAATTTCATCCACTTGATCTTCTTATAATCCTTTAAAATTGAGAGTTGAGTCAATAATGGCACATGTGGGGGATTACTAATAATTCCATCGATAATTTCGTCATTGCTGGGGCAAATTTATTCAACACATTTTCCTTTCTTGTTTTAATTGAATTTGTGTCGTCGGGGATGGGGTTGGCGGGTCCTGGGAGAGGTGAAATCGTTCGGAATCGTGTTGAGGACAATTTTAATGATTTGTTAATTATTTGGATGTCATCGGGAATATTCTGTTGTTAAAAATTTTCATGATTAACTGCCCTGAGGTGAAGAATTCTTGTCTTCATTCACAATCGATTTTTTTTTAATTTTTTGTTGTTGAAAATTGAAAGATTTTCTAATTGAAAATTACGAAAGTAATTGTCTGAGGGCGAGTGATCATCAGAATTTTTTTTTCTAATTCTTTGATCCCTAAATCTCCCAATACTGAACTAGTGGCGTATTCATTACGTTTTATCCAGAAATCCATCATTCAAACTGATCCATCACCCCTAAAACTCTCCAACAATCCCCTCCCCCCTAAGAACATCCCAAGAGGCAATTATCATGAATATACGCCAGGCTGGACAAATAATTGATTCGTCAGTGAAAAAAATCAATATAAATTCCACATAAATTTACAATTTATAATTTATAAATAAATAACCAAAACCCGATCACCAAACAGATCATTACCGACTCAAACTGATTCATTAGTTTATTTTTTTTTTTTTTTTTTTTTTGTGTTTTTATAATTTGTTTTTTTTAAATTTATGTGGAATTTATATTGTCATTATCCACATAAATTAATACTGACAATACAAATTTATGTGGAATTTATAATATAATATTTTATTATAAAACAATATTTTTAACCAATATTTTTTTAACAATATCTTTAATTTATTTATTTTAATGCCACATAAATTTATTTTGGACTATTCTGAAAATTAATTCTAGTAGAATTTCCTAGTGAATTCGTTAGGTCTTCCATTGAATTTTTTCATGCATGTTAGTCAACTGTCCACGAATAGAATACAAAAGTACTGAAAATGGGGTTTGTTCCACGATTACTCGACTCGTTCTATAATTTTTCTCTGTAACTTTTGTCAATGCGTACATTTATTACGTTTTATAATCCTGAAATCCTCCATTCAGCCTGGAACTCTCCGGCAATCCCCCCCCAAAGAACACATCCCAAGTTGTAATTACCGTGAATATACGTCAGACTGGACAAATGATAATTTAATCAGTGGAAATACTAAACCGACATGGAAACAGTAAATTCCCTCCATCACACCTCGCGTATGTTTCGCCGAGTTTCCCTCGGCATTAACAGTCTCATGAAGTTTCCACTCCCAACACAGCCCTCTTGATAACAACCCCCCCTCCCCCCCCAAGTATCCCATCCCAGGGAGATACATTCGGATATAATGGTTGATGCTGGGATCTTGAATCCCGAATGGTAATGAGAATGCATCAATCCAGGGGAGAATCCTAAACAGTTTCGGTGTTGGAGACTGAATTAATCACCTTTGATCAAACTACGAGGCATTTCCGGGGTATTTATCTTCGTGAAATTGTGATACGATATCTCTGACACTTTGAAAGATCATTCCACTCGCTAAACGCTACATGATTATGATCAATCGGGTGGGTGAGATGAATGAACTCGTTTATCGGGTTGAGATCAATTTGTGGGGATAATAGAGGGGAGATTTGATAGTTATCATCAATCATTCGGGGGGAGGGGAATTCTTTCAAGGGGTTCG